ATGTGCAATTATTGTTTTGAAATCATCTGTACAGAGAGTGGAGAATAAGAATATTGTTTAATAAGCCTTCAATTGTTTTTAAAAGTTTATATATCCAATATTAGTGTCAAATGAAAGATAATAAAAAATCATAAATTTTGGTATATTTTTTATAAAAAGTGGAGCAAAAACGAAAAAGTTATGGACTGTTAAAGAAAAAAATGGTTTTTACATCCAATGGGGCCCACACTTTTGTATATGATTTCCTTGCCTAAGCTTCCTCCTCCGTTGTAGGTCGTATTTGGCATGTAAGAGTGGCCAAACCATTTGGCGACTTCAAAGTCGCCAAACGGTTTGACGACTTTCTCCTACCATGGTTAGATCCAGCAATATTTTGGTAAATACTTTTAATTCGACCTTAATTTCGTAAATATTTTTTTATTTAGCATTAATTCGGAAAAAAACTCACTTTTACCCCACTTACTTTTTACAAACTATTTTCTCTTTCCTACTTTACAATCACTTTACTCTTCTTAAAACACTCTCTTTCATACTTTATCATCACTCTCTTTCTATACTTACCCTACACACTCTATACTTACCCTACTACTTTATTATTAAAACCCGTGCCAAACCCTAAGGAGACTAATAAAAAAGAACTGAGGTAGTATTAAAGATACGTAGTATTCCGTATACGGTATATGCAAGAAAGCAACTTTAACGGTTGTTCATTCTGTTTAATTGATTCAACCTTAAACAAAGGGGAAGGGGGTAATTGCCCTCTTTTCAAGTATTTTAAAGCTTTTGCACATAAAAAAAGTATAAGGACACATGTACCCCTTGTTGACAACTTGAGGTGGGTTTTTGCCTATGTTGTAAAAACAGGACCGGGAAGCGACCCGGAGAGATGACTGGGTCACGGGTCAACCCGGACCCGGTGGGTCAACCCGGTCAACACCGGTAAACCCGGTCAACGGTATATATATATATATATATATATATATATATATATATATATAAATCTATAATTGATTTAATTCATAAATAGACAAAGTATACTCCTTCATAATTTTAAAAAAGATAATACAATATAATAAAATTTAAAATACTGTTATACTAAAGTATATTTGTTTTAACTAAAAATAGAATTTAGGGATTAAATGGAAAATAAATACTCTATATAAATGTCTCACCAATTACTAAATTTAAAAAATGCTACATAAATACATTTGAATAAATAATTGGGATGTATATCAATAGCATTAGTGTGTATTCCTTATTGTATTTATGAAATGATTACTATTCCCTATTGTATTACTTATTGTGTACGGAGTAATAAGTTACGCAGTAGTAAACAAACAGTTTTATAGTATAAGTAAAGGAAAACAACACCGGTAATCAACTAGCATTGATGGCCGAATTGGTGTGGAGGTTGAACTTCCGCGGCACAGGTGCAGGTTCGATTCCCTTTAACTTCCTCTCTCCCCTTCGTTTTCCCGGTTTTCACGGGCTACGCGGGTTGCAGCCGGTTCGGGTCCGTCCCGGGTGTGCGCGGGTCACTGGGCTTTTCCGGTTTTGATGGTGTTTGCGGGTTAGTAGTAGATCGGACCGGATCGCGGGTTGGGTGACCGGTTTCTGGGCTTTTCCCATTTACAAACTCCCCTTTACTAGTTTTTTTAACCTCAAAAGCCCAAAAGTGATTCCTAGAATCAAACACAAACACAGACGTAGTATATAAGAAAACAAATTCTGCTCTCCATCTAAATTAACAAACAGGTTAAGGATGTTTTCTTTTGGACTGTTTTCAGTCCCAGACCAGACCAGACTTAAACAGACCAGACCAGACTTAAACAGACCAGACCAGACCAGACTTAAACAGACCAGACCAGACCAGACCAGACTTTAACAGACCAGACCAGACCAGACTTCCGTAGTTATAAAATACACAGAGACCAGACGTTTACCAGACCAGACCAGACCAGTTCAGACCAGACCAGATCAGACCAGACTTAAACAGACCAGACCAGACCAGACCAGACTTAAACAGATCAGACCAGACCAGACCAGCAAATTTCAGTCCAAAAGAAAACATCCTAACTTCTAAAAAAACAAGTTAGCTTTTACAATAGATATACGTAGTATATATATATATATTCGAAAATTGGATCTTTATGTTTGAATTATATTCTGAGATTTGATGTATAGTTGAATTTAAAAGCCATGTTTAGTGACTTCCTAAGAATTATTTCTAGTATTTGAATTGATCATGTTTAGTGATTAATCCTTTTCTAGTTGCTTCAAATAAAATTACAATTTTGTAGTGATTAATCACTTTGCAGATGATGATCTAGTTGCTCCACGTTAATCAGAAGTTCTCTAGCACGTTGAATAAGCTATTTTCTGAACATTTTACTTGTAAACTTATTTGACAACAAACAATGTAAAGCGTCTGCGTGTAATTTAAAAATAGATTACATACATGGCCAAACGGTGTAATTCTATTTTACATGCAAACTATTTTATGACCCTAAATTTTACATGCAATCACTTTGCATGTAAAGTTTTAATGTGCAAACTACCAAACGGGCTCTAATGTCGTGGATCATACAATTGAAATAGGGGCAGATGCTTGAGCCGGAAAACTCTTCTCCTCAAAAATACTGCAATTATGCCCCTTGTGCACAGAGATGTAAACCAACGTGTAAACGAAGGTTTAAATTGTAACAGTAGCATTTTCTTTCAGGAATATTATACTCTACCAAACAGAGCCTTAAACTACTCTAGTTGAAACAAGACTTCTCACTCTTCGGTCTTCTCCGCTGGTCGCTCTTCCAGTCTAGTCTAAGAGAGTGTTTGCGTTTGCTTCAACTTTAAAAAGTGATATTTTAAAGTGATTTTGGAGAAAGTGATTAAAAGTAAAAGTTGGTAGTGTTTGTAATTAGAAGTGATTTTAATTTAAAGGTAAAAAGTTGAAGTGTTTGATAAAAAAGTGATTATTGGTGTAATATATAGTCAAAATACAAAAACACCCTTTCCAAATTAAATTAAGAATTCAAATAAAAAATTAATGGAAGAAGGAAAGCTGCTTGTCCCTTCTCTTTCTCGTCCAATCCATCTGAGCATCTTCCACTCTACGAACAAGAAAATTGCTCCCAGAAAACAAGTCCGAAATTAAACAAAAAAAAACTGGATTTGGAAGTTCGCAGGTCGGACAATTTGTCGGAGACCGAAAAGCTGGTTTGTGTTCATGGAATAGAAGATGCACAACAGGGAGATCGGAGAGGTGCGCAGGTCGGACAATTTGCTACTGTATATATTACTTGTATAGTTTGCTCCATGAGGATGGGGCATGACGGTGGGGAACAGAGTCTGCCATGAGGCAGCAAGGTCTGGCAGCAACTTCGGATGAGGGGAGGGGAGGGTAGAGTGGGGTTAAGTGAAATATTTAACCTAATAACTATACACAAAGTTTGGAGTATTTACAAAAATACCAAGAAACTGATAAAAGCAGGCAGAAGCACCCATCTCCCGGCTTCTAACTTTTGGATTTTAAGTGCTTTTTTTAATCAGAAGTTGGGTTTGTCAAACACTGTTTTTAGCTTTTTTAAGTTAAAAGCTGAAAAGTGCTTATTTTAAGCAACAACAAACACTCTCTAAGAGGATGTTGTTTTTGGATTCAAATTTGCTGGTCTAGGTAAACGTCGGAAGCGTATATGGTACCACCGGTTGTACGGTGTTCACCGTACAGCCGGTGACATTTTTGTAATTTATTTGAAATTCGCGTCTCGTATTAAATGAGTATTAAACCACACATAGTGAGCAAGCGACATATTTTGTTGAGCATTAGAAGCATAACATTGAGCATCATGATCTCTGCTTCATCTCTTCGAATTTACTTTCTTTTCCTTATTTTTTCTTTATAAAAACTTATTAAATTATATCTATAATCAACTCTTATGAACTCCAGTATGTGAATTTAATGCAATATGATACTTTGGAAATATACATTGGTATGTCATATTACAAATGAGCATAACATGAATACCCGTTGAGCATACATAACTTATAAAATGAGAATTGATATGAAAATCATAAGTACTTTTAATTGAACATCAGGACATTTTTATTGAGCATCAACTTGAAAAGTATGACCAATGATTTTCATTATGCGATTGTGATGAGCATTGAGTCTGTTCTTTTTAAATGAGCATAAAATAACACCAAATGAGCATATGTAACTTACAAGATGAGTATCAAAAAATTTAAAAGTCCATTTGTGTATGCTCATTCATTTTGGCCTTATACTCATTTGAGTTTAACATTAGTATGGTACGTTTGAAATGAGTATAAAGAGGTACCAAATGAGCATACATAATTCACAAAATGAGTATAAAAAATTCAAAAGATCATTTGTGTATGATCATTCATTTTCGATTGTATACTCATTGGAGTTTTACGTGAAACTCATTTTTAATATGCTCGATATTCATTTGTGTATGTTCATTCTTTTTAAGCTTATACTCATTTGTGTTTAATATAAACTCATTTCAGATTCGTCAACAAGAAATATGAACTCAGTAGGCCTTCATCGGATGTCGAAACAAGCACTGGCCTGGAGCTTGTTATTTATCGTACTTAAACAAAGTAAACCATGACTAACAATAGTCCTAGCAATTTCTTCATTTGATGTCTATCTGCAATTTCTATTGCAAAGGAGGCAACTAAATTAGGAACCCCAAATCCCTATCTCCTTATCTGTTTCAACCCCAAAGCCATAGTCATCGATTGACTCAATCCCAAAACTCAGAAGGTCTAGCAGGGAGAGGTGGCCGCCGGGGATCTAGCAGGTAGCAGCGATGGCCGGCGAAGCCTGGGACGAGTGACACGAGGACTCAAGCCTGCGTACAGAGGATACGAAGGTCTTCGATCTTAACCTTGCAAGTTGAATTTAATTTCAAAAATACCCGACTGTAATTTCAAAAATTTACGGTAAACGTATGTCTCTGCATAACGCGTATTTTATAATTATGAAAGTCCTCTTATCTAAGATCCTGTGTTTCTTAAAAAAAACATTCTAATCCTCGATCCTCTCCTCCAGTCCCCCGCCCCCGCCAGTCTTCCGCCTTCGCAGCGTTCCAGACTTGCAGAGTTGCATTCCGCAATCTCGAATTGTTCTAGGCGGCAGGCGCCTCCAGACTCCACGGCTCCATCTTGTCAGCTTCTCTGACTCCAGGATCCACAAGAAGTTTGCTGTTTATATGAAATGAAGAGCTATTGGCAACGGAAAGAGCTACCTTTTCTCATACTATATGCTATTGCTTTCTATGCTATCATTATCCATCGGGCTCTCCAACTCTCTAGGGGTACACAGTCTCATCCTTCCTTACCGTGTTTAACTGAAAATATGTTCTTTATTAGTTTCAATATGGTCTTTACCCGAATTGAATGGTTTGGTTTGCAATGGCAGTTCACTATACCCAGCTTCATGGAATGCAGCACAGTTGGATCATCCATGGACTAAATGTAATTTATAATTTTAAACCCCTTTAATTTAACTGCCCTGATATCCTCAGCTACCTTTGCATTTAGGGTTTGTTCTCATATTTAGATGCTATACAATTTGTGCTCTGACGCTTTCTTAAGTTAATGTTGGTGCATTCACAAAGAGTCACTACGGGATTTAATTTTACTTGAGGCTCGTCAAGGTTATGATCAATCAAGGAACCATCAGTGAGACTACACCAATGAAAGCTGCTATAACTGTACTAATGTAGATATGATAGTTTGAAATGCATTTGAGAGGGATTACTGCGAGATTCTTTGATACTTTTCTGTAATAGGGTTAATATTTTTCATGGCTTAAAGTTTTTTTCTCCTAGCAGTGTACTGGTGAAATAGTATTGAAAACATATTATTAAATGATTTCTATTTCTATGCATCTTTTGTATGATACTGATTGATATTCCAATGCTTTTCTTACTCGGGCAATTGTCTTACTAGGATGCTTCCGATGCACAATGGAGACATTTTAGAGGGAACCTACCAATTCTTACCTTGGTTTTTGCAATCTTTACTGTAGTAGCTACTGTATGTAGAACATATGGTCTTAAGGCAAAGGGGATGTCCATTATCTGGCTTCTCATTTCATTGGCTTACTTATCATATCTTCATGGTACTTGGTATGTGCTCTACTGATGCTAATTTTTCTAAAAATGATATGTGAGGTGTTCCTTGCTGATTTTTGCTAAGTTTTAATGTCATGTTATTTTTAATTATTTTATTGCAGCCTTTTATACGTTTTTTCAATTGCTTCTGGCAATTATTTAATAGTAAAGGTGCGTATCATATATTCTTTAGTTTCGTGCTTTTTTGGTTGCTTTTTTTCTTTTAAGTTTTTCATATTCTGTATACTATAATCTTTGACAGACAATCATTTCCTATCTAAGATTCTAGTTTTTGAGTTCATTGGGTGCAGCAAGGAGTTCATTCTGTGCATTGTGAAGCTGAGACTAAAAATCAATTATGAATAAACAATACTTTTTTGTAGATATGTGGAAGGACAAAATTTGTCTTTGTGTTGTGGATATATAATCTGGCATTTCTTGTATGTAACCGGGTTTATGATGGATATCCCTTCTCATCTTTTGGGTGAGATTTTTTTTTTCTGATTGTTGCTTCCATTCTAAAATGATGATCTCTATGTTTCATATGAACTCATAATCAACTATGCTGAAACTTCTCTTATTTCCACTTCTTCTGTCATAGGCAACGTTGGGCCTATTTGGACAACTACCGAGGAACCTTCAGGTGGCATATCTGCTTTAATTTCGGTACATTTATTTCCTAATTCACTTGTATATTTTGCCTCTCTTTTTGTCTCATTGTTTTATTAATTACTTACTTTCATGCACTTTTATATATGGGCATATATTAGAAGAGAAGATGATAATTAAATCCTCATTTTTTCACGAGCTCATAACTAAGACTATGCTATTGGTTTTTAGCAATTTGCCAAATTGATAACAGCTATTAGCTGTGCATGTGTTATTTTTTCAAAAGATTTGATACTTGGTCTTTTCCCTCATTTGCAATGGAGCCAAAGTTTACCTATATTTGGCTTGGGAATATGATGGAATAAAGCAAAATGGCTCTCTAAACTGTCTGCACTTCTTTGTTATGAAGCAACAGTCAGTCCATGCAATTTTCGACGCGATTTTCACCATGGGTCATCCTGAAACAGTCTCCCTGTGCTTTAGTACATGGGTAAGGCTCGTACATCCGACCCCCCTTACCCCACCGTAGGTGGGAGCCTTTGCGCACTAGGGTAATGATGATGATGATGATTTGATACGTAGTCTCTACATTGACATTGATATGTCATATATCCCTTCGGAAATAAATGCTTATCCAGTAACCTCTTTCAACAGATTCTCTTAATTCATGCTTAAGATTTGTGATTGTATTGTTGTATAAACATAAAAATTGGACTTTAAAGAAAATTTAGTCATGCACCATGTATCATAAAGAAAATGCAAAGAAGAAGCTGTAAACACCCAAAACTTTCCGCTTTATTTTTGTCAGTTGTCCTGCGAATGCTTAGTTTTGGCTATGACTACCACTGGGCAGATAAAAGTAAGCACTTTGATGAAGAGGTATTTCTGATTTATTCTTTGTTTCGCTGTTTTTTGCTAGTTTACTCACTTTCCTGTGAAGCCTTCTGTTTGCTTTAAATCTATACTTTGAACACAATACCACATATCTATATGTTATAAAAAGATACGGAGTATGACTCGTAAAGAAAACAGGAAAAAACCTAAGAAACTTTAAAGGAATCTGTGGACGCAAATGTAAAAATTGTTCTGGACTTCTGGATGATGGATATCTGGGGTCATGCGGTGAACTTTTTTACTTATCAGTGTTTTAGGAACCATGGTGCCTATTAATTGTGTATCATGCAAATTGTAAGTGACAGAAATGCACTCTTTTTGCATTTTGTTTTCACAAAAATAAGTCTGCTGTTATCTAGTTCAGTAGAAGAGTAATTTACATTTTGGAAATGTATACTGCTGAGGGAATACATTGCTGCAAGTTCACTGACATACATTTTTGGTACTCAACTTTATTTTTTTCCATTTTTAGTCATCGACTATTGTGCTAGAGACACTTTGATAGAGAACAGAGAGATAAAGGGGCGAGAAGGGGCTTGGGCCCACCTCCGTGGGCTGGTTATGGGCTAAGATTATAGTTTTATTTATTATTATAAAGATTATGTTATGCTTTTTAGTTTGGGCCTATTATTAGTAGAGTAGTAAGTAGAGTTAATTTGGGCCTAATTAGGGTTTAATTAATTTGGGCTCGATTAGGGTTTCTGTCGAGTCCATTACTAGAAGGCTATTTGCTGTTGGATTTCAGCCTTTTGGCTCTTGGCAACAGTTTATATCGTTGATTATTTAGGCAATGGTTTACCCCGTGTTCACAACAAATGGTCCGACCTGCCGGATCTCGTCCCGCCTGAATGACGAGATCAATCACTGAACATTTGTCAAAGATGGAGGCCGAACAGGTTTTGCTGAACCAGAACTGGACGCGCTGGGAGCGATGCTTGACGCGCAAGGAGTCCAACTGGCGGAGATCGCAACCTCCTTGGTTGCGCTCACTCGCCGCCAGTGGCGGAGGAGCATTCATTGGCGGCGGCTTCACTCAACGCGGCAACGGCTTCAATCGACGCAACAACGGCATTTACGTGCGGAACCGGACTGTGCAACACCTCTCTAACGACGCTGCTCTTGTTTGACGGAGAAAACCCGATTGGCCGGGTTGCTATGGCTAAGAAACAGTTCGAACTGAACTGTACTCCGCCAGGAAAGAGGGTGGCAGCCGCTGTAGTTGCGATGGAAGGGTCAGCCATATACTGGTTGACCTGGTTATTGGCACGAAAGCCGGGCATGTCATGGGATGAGCTTACATAGGCATTGATGGCTCGTTTTGATTCACGGTTTTAGGGCAATCGCTTTGAATGGTTGTTCGAAGTCAAGCAGACAAGGACCGTGGAGGAGTACATCTCAATTTTTGTTCAACTAACAAGTCAGGTCCCAAGGTTATCTCACAATCATTATTTGGGGTATTTAATGAACAAGCTGAAAGAATCGAGTGGCAGCTTCCTAAAGATACTGAGCGGCCCCCAAGGACAAATGTGAGCCGTTTTTCGGATTTCAACCTTGAAGACAAGGTTGTTTCGAAGGAGGATGGATTGATAGAGAGCGAAGAGATCAAGGGACGGGAAAGGGCTTGGGCCCACCTCCGTGGGCTGGTTGTGGGCTAGGATTATAGTTTTATTTATTATTATAAAGTTTATGTTATGTTTTTTAGTTTGGGCCTATTATTAGTAGAGTAGTTAGTAGAGTTAATTTGGGCCTAATTAGGGTTTATTTAATTTGGGCTCGATTAGGGTTATTGTTGAGTCTTACTAGAAGGCTATTTATACCCCTGTCAGGGTTCATTCTTGCTTATGTTGGAATAAAGTTGGATTTCAGCCTTTTGGCTCTTGGCAACGGTTTATATCGTTGATTATCTGGACAATGGTTTACCCCGTTGATTTTTATTTTTCTGTTCTCAACACACCATAGATGTCATGGAGCATGGCGATTGCCATGGCTCAAAGACATTTTTCATGGCGCACAGCGATAGCGCGTATACGAATGGCGCATATGACGTTATGCCGATGACCACTTTTCATGGTGATGGCGCATATGGCGCGCGCCATATCTGGCCATTGACTACTATGCAACACACTTTTGGTGCCCTTCTATGAAAATTTCCATATTTAGTCATTTGACTTCAATAAAAATGACAATTTTGATCCTTCAACTATTATAATAATGGTAATACTTTTAGTCCTCCACTTACTGTATCAAAATCATAGTAGAAGGACTAAAAGTGTCAATTTGATAATATTTAGGGGATTAAATGCGGGAAACTTTGAAGTCGAGGACTAAAAGAGTCCCTAGCACAATGGTCGAGGACTGAAAATGGAAAAATTAAAAATCAAGTATCAAAAGTGTCACAGACACACTATAAGGGGACCGAAAGTGGCAAAAACTCTCTTAATGTTTTTATGTACTAGGCTTATTAGATGTTTTTGTAATGTATCAAGAGGCAATAGAACAGTTGAGAATACTCTTACATTTTGAATCTACTATTTCCCCTGGGCTCTCTATTTCATACTTTAAATTTATACTTCCTCCGTTTTTTTAATTGCAACACTTTCCTTTTTTGGCAGTATCCAATTAATTGCAACACTTCTTCTTTTAGAAATAAAAATAACCACAATGACTATACTACCCTTAAATTCATTTAAATAAAAAATATGACCCATCACTATCAACATCACATCTTCATCCTCTCCACTCAAATTACACCACACAAGCACCCAACCCTTTCCTGCCATCAGCCGACCCCTTCACCTCCCCCATTTCCCACTCACTCCTATCTTCCCACGCACTCCTTTCTCTTCCACAATTCCAACCCTTGTTTTTTTTTCTTTCCTCACTTTCTTCTTTCTTTCAACTTTGTAGAACCCATCTTGTTTTTATTTCCCCCACATGTCTTTCTTCTCCCCACGCGATTTGTTTTTCCAAAGCAACTTGAGAATGGCGATGGCAATGTTGTTGTAGCCTCTAGCTTCATCGGTCAAGATCCAAATTCCAGATACACTAAGGAACAGTGAATTCGAAGAAAATCTCACCTTCAATTGAGATAATAGTTTGATTCAGCAAATCAGCAAAAAAATTTAGTTGAGTCCGACTTGTTAAATTCAATAGCAAATGAAAATTGCTCCATATAATCATTACAAAAGCAGTGCTCCAAACTGATGCTACGTACGAAGAAAAGGGGGTGAGAGGGAATGCTATCGTACATTCGTACTACAGCTCTACGAGTATTAAAAGGTGTATGCAGAAGGGTAAAAAAGGGAAGATATTACTTTAGGGATGTTTCTTAATTTGTGTGCCAAGAGGGTATGTTGCATCTAATTTGGAACGGAGGATAGTATATTTTAAAATTTTCAAATAAGACTTGCTGCCTTCAACTGCACAATTGAAAGCAATTTTTTTGGAGTTAGGGGCCGTTGGGAACTCATAAAATGATAGGGAAAGAAAAAAGCAAGGAATGTAGACGGGAAATTTGAGGAAAGTAAAAGATTAGTTCACCTTCTCAGTAAATTAATTATGGATATTTGTTCAAACTCTTTTAATTCTTATATTTAGATTGTAGAAAGACTAAGAAATCTAAGTATATGTAAAATAATAAAAAGTTTTAATCAAGTTGGATTATTGTTAGGGAGTGGGAGGCAGATGGGCCGAGGCTCTAGGAGGCAAACGGGCCAATGCTTCAGGAGGACGGGCCTTGCCCATTATTAGTTTATGGGTTGCTGTCAGTGGACCTAATTGGGCTGGGTTGACTGTTGGGTTTCATTACTTTATTTCAGTCTATTGTTATGTCTAATAAATTGTTGGGCCTATATGGTCATATTTTATTATTAGGTTAATGGGCCTAGATGGCCATATTTTATTATTAGGTTAAGGAGTATTTAAGGAGGTCTTGTGAACTATTATTGATTATCGAGAATACAGATTTGGTTTGAGCCTAAGGCTGGGCAGTCGTTAACACCGTCTGCTAGGGTTTCTTTTTCTGCTTCTATCAATTTGGTCCGACCTGCCGGATCCTATCCACCGCCTTACGTTCATCATGACTCGTTCCACCATTGATCAACGCATAGATGCGATAGAAGCAGACCAGAAGGACATCAGGGCAGAATTGCAATCCACCAACGCCAAGTTGGATGCTATCACGCAAACCCTAGACAAACTGGCGCAGAAGGTTATGGCATCGGGGGGAACGCTGGCTGATTCTGAGTCAGGAGGAGGAGGCACGGCTGACTCGCAGAACTCCCACAACCCTAGGTCTGTGACCGCGCCTCTGACGCTACCGGAGTTTGATGGGGCAGACCCGATTGGATGGCTTGCCAGGGCCAATCAGCAGTTTGAAATACATCAGACCCGACCTGAGTTGAAGGTGGCGTCAGCCATGGTAGCAATGGAGGGTCCTGCTTTGTACTGGTTTTCTTGGACACGGTCGCGGAAACCAGGCATAGCTTGGGAGGAGTTTTCACAAGCCCTTGTAGCCCGTTTTGATACTCGGTTCAAAGGGAGCACGTTCGAACGGTTGGCTGACGTTAAGCAGACAGGATCCGTGGATGACTATGTAAATTTGTTCGTGCAATTAGCCAGTCAGGTCCCAGGTTTGAGTGATGCCCACTACTTGGGGTACTTTATGAAAGGGCTACGGGACACCATTCGCAGTTCCTTACGGATCCTACGCCCAATTGATTTGGAAGCTGCTATGGAGTTAGCAAGAGATATCGAAGAAGACTTGGCCGTACAGTCCGGAGGGAGATCAGAATGGGGATACGACAATCAGCAGTGCCGTTCCAGTAATTACACCAAAGTTGGCGGGTTTTCGGGGCTCTCTTCCACGCCAGTTACTGGAAACCAAGGGGCAGCAGGAAGCACAACTTCCTCGCGATCTCCAGGTAGTACCTCGGGGTCCGGGTCAGCCATGACTGGCCAGTCGGAGAATCGCTCTCAGTTCACACGCCTCTCACCGCAGGAATTTGTAGACCTACGTGCAAAAGGGCTTTGTTTCCGTTGCAAGAAGCCTTATACCCCCAGGCATGAATGTCCCCTAAAACATTAAGAGTAATGGTTGTCCAGGAAGATGAGGAACTCGACCTCAATCAAACTGAATCTTTTATCCCGCCGAAGAGGTTGAGCAGCTAGGGGAACAGAAAGAGAAACAAGCAGCAGCTTCTTCACTCCAACCTTGGGGACAAGGTTGTTTTGGAGGGGGAGGAAATTGTTAGGGAGTGGGAGGCAGATGGGCCGAGGCTCTAGGAGGCAAACGGGCCAATGCTTCAGGAGGACGGGCCTCGCCCATTATTAGTTTATGGGTTGCTGTCAGTGGACCTAATTGGGCTGGGTTGACTGTTGGGTTTCATTACTTTATTTCAGTCTATTGTTATGTCTAATAAACTGTTGGGCCTATATGGTCATATTTTATTATTAGGTTAATGGGCCTAGATGGCCATATTTTATTATTAGGTTAAGGAGTATTTAAGGAGGTCTTGTGAACTATTATTGATTATCGAGAATACAGATTTGGTTTGAGCCTAAGGCTGGGCAGTCGTTAACACCGTCTGCTAAGGTTTCTTTTTCTGCTTCTATCAATTATCCTCTATATTTTCCAAGCTTAAACCAAATAATAAAAAAACTACGGAGTATTTGCTTATTTTTTCCCATTACCTACATTTTTTGAGTTCCAAATATAACTTTAGTAGTTCATTTTATGATAATCACAGAAGCACCTCCATCACTGTGAAAAGTGTTCATCAGGAAGAACATGCTATCTGCTATTACAGGTTCATTGCACAGTATGAGTTACGATGTTGTTCTTGTTGTCAGTATAGCTAGCGGAGTGGCTTTCACACTTTTAGTTGCTACTTTTTTTTTGCAGGAGAGAACCTTGCAGGATGATAAGTTCTCCATTGCTACCTACTTGTGTTATTTGTTTTATGCTCCCCTCTACATCGCAGGTCCTATAATTAGCTTCAATGCATTTGCCTCCCAGGTATAAGACTATATGAGGGTTTTGTACTGCAAGGACAACCTGATATGCCAGTTTGCTGCTAAAAGCCACACTTTTTTCCTTTAACGTGCAGGCTTTGTTTTTTTCTAGTTGGCAACTGTTGAAAAGCTATCAAATTTCATGTTAAGAATGAATGACTACATTAATATGCACCCAATGTTCTAAAAGGCCCGTCAGCTCAGCGCCTAGCGTCTAGGCGGGAAGTCGGGGACTGGTCGGAGACATAGATATTATAGTATTGTCTATATTTTTACATAAATATGATTAGTAATGTTGTGTTTGTGTGTGTATAAAAAATATACGCTCATTAAAATGCATGAATGATAGAGGTTTCATAATAATATATTATACCTACTCACTTAACTTCATTATGTAATAAATATTATTAAATAATAAAAATATTTAAGATTATATACAAACATGCATAGTTTTATTTTAATCTACAACTAGTAGCTTTATTCATATGTCTTGTTAAAGTTAAATGTACATATATCTCTTTGTAAACAAAAATAAAAAAACAAAACAAAATGTTCGACAAATCTAAATGCCTTAGTCGGCCGATTAAGCGCTCTGGACGGGCAAATAGGCGAACGTCTAATTTACCTAGGCGTCAAACCAATTAGTCAGGACGCTTAGACTAAAATCGGGGTGCCTGGCCACCGCCTAGAGCAATTTTTAGAGCAATGTATGTACCATACTTATATGGGTTAAAATTACCTTTAGGCTACTCAGTTTAGCTAAAAAGCTTATAAAAACGATGGTTGTGAATACACAACAATAACAACAACATTACCCAGTGCCGAAAAGGCTGCCACCTACGATGGGTTAAGAGGGGGAAGATGTACACGGCCTTACTCCTGTACTAAAGCACATAGACTGTTTTCCGATGACCCATGATGAAAATTGCATGGGCTGACTGCTTCATAACAAAGAAGTGCATACCGTTTAGTGAGTCATTTTGCTTTATTCCATCATATTCCCATGTCAAAATCAGTGAAGATGGACATGACTGACCATACTGACTGCAAATGCAAAATCTGGTCTTGTATGTGCCAAATAGATCAATCTTCCCACCAATCTTTGATATTCTTGAATATTGACTGGGACTCCATCTTTGACATCTCTCAACTTCTGATTAGGGTCAATTGGAGTATATGTTGGTCTACATGCACTCATTCCTGTTTCTTGAAGAAGATCCAGGACATACTTCTTTTGTGAGACAACAATTCCTTTCTTTGACCTAGATATCTCCATCCCAAGAAAGCATGTCAACTCTTCCAAATCTTTGACCTCAAATTCATAAGCAACTTTCAAAGAATATAACATTCCTGGAGACCCGCAACTTGTTTTCTTGCGGATCAAAACACATGAATCCCTTTTGACTAATGCTATATCCTAGAAACACACAACGAGCAGACTGGGCAGAAAGTTTATGACGTTCTGTGGGCGAAAGATGAACAAAACACACACTACCAAAAGGGTGAAGATTAGTGTACACTGGATGACGTTTATGGAGCCGGAAATAAGGTGATTCAAACTCCAAGACTTGTGATGGAAGTCGGTTTATTAGGTAAACTGATGTAGACAAAGCTTCAACCCAAAATCGAGTAGGAACTTTGGATTCTATAAGTAAGGTCCGAACGATATCAAGAAGATGGCGATTTTTGCGTTCCGCAACACCATTTTGTTGAGGAGTATATGGACATGATCGTTGAGATAGGATTCCCTTAGATTCAAGAAATGTTTGAAATTCATGAGACATATACTCCCCACCAAAATCAGTACGAAGAACTTTGATACTTGTGGAAAATTGAGTTTCTACAAAGGCAAGAAAATTTTGAAATGTTCTGAAAAACATCAGCCTTCGATCGAAGAAAATATATAAGTGTAACGACTATAATCGTCAATAAAGGTAACAAAGTATTTGTAATGAGAATGAGACACAACGGGAGAAATTCCCCAAACATCACTATGAATGAGCTCAAAACAATGGGAAACACGACTACCATTAGATGGAAAAGTAAGAACTTTGCTTTTGACTAGTTTGCATGATTCACAATCAAAATGAGAAAACATATTCTCTTTATTACCCAAAAGACCAAGACGTAACAAATGAGAAAGAACTTGAGGATTCGGGTGCCCAAGTCTCCTATGCCACACCGATCCTGAATTTTTATTACATGCAAAAGTTGAAACTGAGTTATATCTAGGAAAGTGTAAAGGAAAAAGACATCCAATCCTAAGCCCCTTCGCTATCAGCTCCCCTGACACTTGATCCTGCACAAGACAACCATCACAAGAGAATTTCACGTCACATTTATCATCAAGAAGTTGCCCAACAGAGATAAGACTCGTAGATAATTTGGGACAAACAAATACATCTTTAACCCGATGAGAAATATCACCAATTGCAGTAATAGGCAGTTTATTACCATTGGCAGTTTCAATGGATAAAGAACCATCATATTTGCGAATATTATTGAGTCCATGTACTGAATGTGTCACATGATTGGAGGCTCCGGAATCTAGAAACCAATTAGAATAGGGTAAAGAGTTACCTTGAATTCCCAATGCTGAGAAAGCAGAAATTATGATCTGCTGTACCATTTCAGGTGTAATAGAAGTGGCAGAAGTAGTGACTGGAGTATTTGACACGTTTGGAGAAGTGACCACAGCTTCTGTGGTAGCCTGATATGCGGTGTTTTTCCTGCGGGGTGGACGAATAGAGCAATCTTTGATGATATGTCTGAGCTTTTTGCAATAACTGCATACCTTATTAGGGCAATGCTGCGCAATGTGACCGTAGTTCTTGCAAGAATAACACTGTGTGGCACTCATATCTCTAGGGTGAGACTTAGCTTGAGTGACATAAGCAACAGGAGAGTGACCTTGTTCCAAGGTAGCCTGGGTAAGTAGACGCTGCTCTTCACGAAGGAGTTCTCGAAGACAAACGTCCAAAGAGGGAACTGGATTCCTATTCAATAATGAGGAGCGAATATTCTCAAACTCGGAGCGCAGTTTCATCAAGAACTGCCTGCACTGCCTGGCTTGTAACATATCCCGAAGAGGCTCAACAACAGTTTCAGGGACGTCGGCGAGACATAAGTCGATATATTCAATCCAAAGTGCCAAAAGACTGGAATAGTATTGCTCAACAGTTAAGGAACCTTGTTGAAAGTTAGAAATATCCAACTCCAACTGAAATTGATGGGCTGAATTATCCTGATGATAAACTTGTCGCAGATAAGCCCACATGGCTTTAGCTGTGCGATGAGGACGTAGGTTAAGAATAATATGAGGATCAAGTGACCCTAATATCCAACTGCGAATTTGAGCATCTTTCACCTCCCAAGTTTCACCCTGAGTGGCAGAATTCTGTGTGGCAGAGTCATCCACGTGAGCCCACAAATCCTCTCCTTTCAGAAAGGTTTCAAATTGAAATGCCCAAATAACATAATTCTTGCCATCAAATCGAACACACAAGTTTTCTAATTTATCCTTGATAACAACAAGAGAACAGAATAAATCTGAGAAGGAAATGTGTTGATTTGAGATAGAAGATGGCTGGAACTAAATACTGAGATGACTGAATCTGAGAGGAAACTCTAGGGTTTGTGTTTAAAACAAAAAATCTGAGACGTCGAGCAAGAATTCCAAGAACAAACCCAAGTGAATTTTAGGGTTTGTGTTAAAAAAAATAACTGCTGAAAAAAATGCTTATGGCTCTGATACCATGTCACGAATTTTACTAGAAATGATAAAATCTGGAACTAAGTAAAATCAGGAACTAAGAATTGGGAATGATGGAAAACTTGAGCTGCCCTGCTCAGCTGTTTATTTACACTTATATAGGCAACATGTGAATATATGTACAAGGAAACAAATCAAGGGATTCTTACAATTAATGCAAGATATCCCTGCACTCAATGCCTAATAAAATCTTCCTATAATTACAAAGATTCAATAAAATAACAAAGATATTTTCTACTGATTCTCTGATTGACATCTTCAAGATCTGAGTATGTTTCTCTAATAGAATCTCACACCTCCTTTGCTGTCTTCATGAACATGTGGGGCTTAGCAATTGATGCATCCATGGAACTGAGAAGTCAGGCTGTCACTAAGGAATTTTCTGACCTCCAGATAATGTAGTTATCATCGCCGATTAGTTTTTCTTTGGTTTCTCCAGTTAGATATCCCAACTTTCCCCTTCCATCAATTGGTAGTTTGACAGATCAAGACCATTCCAAATAATTCTTTCCATTCACTCTATGGCCAGTGATGAGCATAGATGAATGAACAAAAGACCGGTAATTTGCCATTGAGCTAATTGGGGGGGTAGGGTTACTGTTTTGGGAAGATAATGATTCAGGGCTAATGATTTCCACCATTGTGATGTTAAACCGAGAGCTCTGATACCATGTAAGTTTTGAGGAATAATTTTCCTTGTATTTAGTGAGCCATCCGGCCTGTACATATATAGGATACAAGAGTAACAACCTCCCTGTAGAGATCCTAAAAAATAGGATCTAGCTAACCACTGATGCCCATCTATAATTAACAATTAATGACAGCTAATTACTTTAATCATTATCTACACATATATACATGGTCACATTTTTTACTTGACAATAGAAAAGTGATTAGCATAGTCCTATGTAATTAGCTATAGATATAGGTAGTTCATTCAGAAGGACGGTAGTGAGCTCTTCCTACTTTTATTGAAATAAAAACAAAGTCATCATAACTTCATCATGAACTTGTTACACTTCGCTGCATAATTGGTATATGTACGTATATTGAAGGTAAGGAAATTCTTCTGCAAATAAATATTAGGAAGAGTTGTTGAATGGAGTCCTTAATTCAATTCATCTCCTACAAATAATCCCATCTTTCGATTGTGTCATTACAGATGGATGCTCCTCAGAAGACTTACCTACTACGCGATGTAGTTTATTATGGATTTCGCTGGGTATTAAGCTTGTGTCTTATGGAATTAATGACACATTTCTTTTACTTCAATGCCTTTGCAGTTAGGTGTGTTTCTTTCAAAAGTAAATTAATCAAGCTACTTATAACCTGGCTTAAAGAAAAATTCTCTCATTCATTATGACTGAATTTGTTTTACCTTTTAGTGGAATGTGGAAATATTTATCACCAATGGATGTCTTCATCATCGGGTACGGAGTAAGTATTGGCATTGAGCTTCAATGAATTTCTTTATATTATCCGGTTTCTGCTTAGATTATAGCCAAGATTTTGCAAGTTTTGGGTCAAAAGAAAGGTTGTGCATATGGAGAAAAGAAGGAAGTTTCAATCTCATACTTTGGTAGAATTCCATAACATTCAATCAAGTCAATTTGCTCTTTCTTAATGATATAAATAGGTACTAAATTTCATGTGGCTCAAGTTTTTCCTGATCTGGCGTTATTTCCGGTTCTGGTCGCTGGTAGTTTCAATTGCCCTGCAAATTTTAGTTATCTGAAATGCAACTTCAAGTTTCTTGCATATTTTATGCATCATGCTTTTTTCCTTGTATTGTAGGTAAATGGTATTGAGCCACCTGAGAATATGCCTAGGTGCATCAATAATTGCTACAATTTGCAAACATTTTGGAAAAACTGGCATGCTTCCTTTAATAAATGGCTTGTCAGGTGGTATCCCGAGATACTATTCTCTAAAATGTGACTCATATTATGATGGTTTCCTTGACAGCTTGACTTAGTTTTATTGTATAATTTTTCAGATATATGTATATTCCTCTGGGAGGTTCAGGTAGAAAGTTGCTAAATGTATGGGTGATCTTCACATTTGTTGCTATTTGGCATGATCTAGAGTGGTAAGTTTCAAGCACTTGTTGACCTGCTTCTGTTATTGTGGTATACTGTCTTATTCCTATTTATCTGTCAATGTGGAGCCATATTCGTTGTTCAATTTTATTTGTCATTTATGAAATCTATGCTTATTAAACATTTTGTTGTGGGCATGGTTGGGACATGAATAGGAAGAAGATCGAAAGCAATAAAGATAAAGAACATATATGCCCTGGCAAGAGTAAGGTGACACACAACCTAGCCTTGTCTTTGAATCTATGTTGCACAGAAACATGGAATCATGGGAAAACGAGAAACAAGAAACACCATCTTTTAAGAGAAAAACAACTCTTTGGAGAGTTACCAAAGAGTTTTTATAGACTCTTTTATGAGAGTTTCCGTGCTTCATAGCTCTGAATTTGGTCTAAAATTATTGAAGATATTATTAATGAATAGAGAGCATCTATTTGTACTACTCCAACAGGCTAACTTTCAGAATATTATTCTTATTAAAGATATTAACCAAGTATAATACCACTGCTAATAGGACATTAATTAATAATAACAATAATTGTAATAATAACAGTCATAATAATAATAAGGGATTTTGACCTAAATATTAATAAAAATGGATAATTGACAAAAAAGTCGCCTTTTTTTAGTTTCCAAAAATGCTAATAAGCATCAAACTCACTAAAATATTCCTAGTCCCTACTGGCTTTATTTGATAGTGACATGACCCACCACAGTGACCACAACCTATTGGTGATCGCTGCCAACCACAATTACGCAGTGACAGGCCACAGTGACACACCGGGCACAGTGATACAGTGACTTGGGTCATAGTGACCCCGCCATGACCCCGTCGGAACTACAGCCATCAGGCTCAATGGGTCTGCTCAGCCCGCAGCCTCCTCCCCAGCTCCCCTGCCCCCTTCACAGTCACTGCCTGCGCCCCCTCTCTCCTCCCTCTGCACTTGCCCCTTCTATCCTCCCTCTGCCACACGATTGCGCCCCTTCTGAGCCTTGCAGCCCCCCCTCACCGGTGGTGGTGTCACTATAACCTGACCACTGCCCCAAACCGCTGCCCATGTCCCTGTCCCGCCGCAATATCTGCCCAACACTGCCTCAGCCACCCTCCGACCACTGCTATAGTCCCCTGCCCCTGCCCACAACCCTAACCCCTGGCTGTTACTGATGCTGCAACTGTAATTGCGTACGTCGCAACCCTAGACGCAACCCCTTGACTTTGCCCTCACCATCACATATTTGCAAGTGAGGATTACGGTAACGCACTCGTTTGACCTTGCCCTTCCATCTTGTCATCTATCCATTGAGGATGATTACATGACGACTAGATTGAAAGGTAAATTTTATCGAACAACAATTAGGCCTGCATTAATGTATGGCGTGGAGTGTTGGGCGGTGAAACAATGTTACATTCAGAGATGAGTGTGGCAGGGGGACTGACATAGATGCGTAGGTTGCGTTGGATATTTGGACATACCAGAAAAGACCGCTAGAGGAATGACATAATCAGACAAAAAATGAGAGTAGCACCTATAGAAGATAAGATGCAGGAGTCTCGTCTGCGGTGGTTTGGGCTTGTGCGTAGAAGACTGAGTAATGCACCTGTTAGACGACTTGAGGGGTGTGGAGAAGAGACAGAGAGGAGAGGGAGGGGAGACCCAACAGACTTGGATTAAAGGAATCAGAACTGATATGCGTCTTCTTGGGTTGGATGAGAGTATGGATTTGGAGAGAGCAAAGTGGAGGGCGCACATTCGTGTGGACGATTGATCTCTTTTCTTTTATTGTTTCTCTTCTTTGTCTTTTTATGTCCTTATGTTATTTTTACCTTCTAGCTTTTTTTATGTTCTTTTATCTTTTATTCTTTCTTATATTCTTATGTTATTGTTATCTTTTATTTATTTATCTTTATCTTATTCGTTTTATCCTTTTTTGTTTCCTTTGTCTTCTCTTTTTGGCATCAATATCATGGATCGATTCATGTTAGCCGACCCCAAATCTTTTGGGATTAAGGCTTGGATGTTGTTGTACCTTTTTTTGTCCAACAGAAATTGGTCATATTTTTTTTCCATTGAAACTCTAGAAGTAATATTTGTGTCATTCTTTCTACTACTACTAATAATAATAATATTAATTAACAGCAATAGGAAACTAATAATACTAACTAATAATATTAATGACAAAACCAATGATCAGACTATTTTGTTCTTTTCGTGATAGCCTAGCATGAGACCTGTCCATAATAATAAAATCCTAATTTTTCCTTATGCTATTGACTATCATTTTTCCTAAAATCAACATGAGTAGTAGTGTGGTTCTATTTAAGGCATTTAGATAAAGTATTGAAACTTGTGGAAAAGGGAGGACTACCGCTGTCCCAAAAGGTGTCCTGATGTACAGGCTTTTTGTAAGGTCCAACTACCTGCTTATATTTTTAAAAATTTATTTGTTAGTTTAACTACACATTTCATTTGTAACTTGTGTGTGACTCATTTCTGGAAAATTACTAAAAATCTGCTTCATTTGAATAAAATTTCTTGGGGGGACAAAAAGTGTTTGAGACAAGACTTTTTTACATTCTTCTTTCAGGAAGCTGCTTTCATGGGCTTGGTTGACGTGCTTGTTCTTCATACCAGAAATGGTGGTCAAATCAACAGCATATGCCTTCAAGGTTATATCATTTTCTTGCCTATCTAAATTCCCTCTTCACTGTTCTCTTCTTTAAAGAAAAGATAAATTTATATCTATGGTTATGGAATAATTATTCGGTGAGGCAGTGACTGATTATGTTATCCTTTGAAAATTTATGCTTGTAAGGCGGAAAGTGCTTTTGGTGAGCTTTTCTACTATGAACTCAATGCTGTTGCTGGTGCTGTTACCATCACTTGTCTTATGGTTTGTTTTCTATTCATTTATCAATAAGCTAAAAGTAGCATGAGCTTAAGCTGATGCATATAATGCCCTGATATTAAGTCTGCAATTAGTTTCTCCATGACACTGATGTAAAAGTTGCCCCCGAGAATAGTAAGAAGTAATTTTGTAGGTTTTTGAAATTTTCAAATATTCTGCAATTTCATGGATGTCAACTTCTCAATATGCAAGGTTATTTTGTGTTTACCGTGGTTTTTTGTGAATGGGAAAATGGATGTAGGGATTGAGATTATTAAATGGGCATTAGCTTGAATTCAATTCAATTAATTCTTGTAGACAATATTCCTGTACAAATTATTTCAAATTATTTTTATGGACACTCAGTAGGGATTATTATTGTAGAATCCATAAAAGTAGGTATTATTCTTGTGAATTTCCCCAAAAAGATATGATAAAATAAAGATAAATATAAAATAAATATAAAAATTACTCCCTATAAGATAAAAAGAATATATATAGGATAAAAGAATAAAGACCATAAGAAAGATAAAGATGATAAAAGATCAATCCTCCACCAAAATATTTACCCTCCACTTTACCCTCAAGATCAATCCTCCACCAGAATATTTACCCTCCACTTTACTCTCGAAAGCCATACTCTCATCCAAACCAAAAAGAATTACATCACCCGTGATTCCTCTAATCCATGTCTAATTAAATCTTTCTTTTCCTTTTCTCCCTGCCTATTCTCCACACCGCACAACTCGTCTAACAGGTGCATCACTCGGTGTTCTTCGCACATGAACAAATCACCGATTTTGAGACTCTTGCATCTCATCTTCAGTAGGTGTTACTCCCATGTTTTGTCTGATCGTCTCATTTTTAAGCGGTCTTTTCTAGTATGTCCACACATCCAATGCATTGTGCACATCCTTGTCATACTCATCTTTTGAATGTGCCATTGTTTCACCGCTCAACACTTTGCACCATATAGTAATGCAGGCGTAATTGCTGCCCAATACAATTTAGTGATTTACCCTTTAGTCTTGTCGGCGTACCTCGATCACATAGAAATCCTAATGTAGTCTTCCATTTCATCCACCATGTTTTGATTCTATGGCAAACATGTTCATCTAGTTCATCGTTCTTCTGCACCATGGAGCTCAAGTAACAGAACATATTTTGACCGATATCTCCTTAGTACCAAGGTAGTCAAAGTCGAGCGCTTCAGCGCTTAAGCGCACCAGGCGCAGCGCAGTAGAGGTCCATCGCTTGAAAGATGACCAGGCGCACCCTCCTGTCTCAGGCGCAGCTTAGGCGCATAAAGCGCAGAAGCGCCGAAGCAAGAAAAACGCACGCTTTAGTCGCCTGGGCTGGGAAAGGTTTATTAGCCTATTTTTTTTGTTTGATCCTATTTTAAATAATAAGCCCATACTAATAATAAGATTTAGCCCGTCCAAATAATAGGTAAACACAACTTAAACCCATATTAAACCCTTCATAGTCGTGGGAAAAGTCTTGCGCAACATGCTTAGCGCTGAAAAACATTCAGCGAACCCACAGAAGCCAGAAAATCCATAAGGTGTCTTCTTCATCATAATCTTCACATGCTCTTTCTTCTTTTTGAGCTGGTAGTTTTCATTTATTTTGTCATCTTCTTTGTGATCCTTTCATTTTGTTCTTTCAGTCTATCTTCTTTCTTTACTTTTATTAGTTCCAGTCATTTATGCCTACTTTAAGGTTCTTTTTGCTTCTAATATATGCTATACAACTCAACATAATATGTGTACCTGACCTACCAGTTTTCATGTGAACAACATATTATTTCATCTTATTATACAGTCTATAACTGTATATCTTCCTAGTATCATTTCATATTTTAACTGTATAAAAACTTCATATAATATAACTCAGTCAATAGTTTCACACACTACATGATTTATGCTATTCCTAGTGCTAAAATTGCAAAATCAACAAAGACAGACCCAACTCAGTGTTTTGTTTTTGTGAATCATGACATTATTTTGGTGAATCATGACTTTATTTTTTAGAAACATGACTTTTTGATGCATTTAGTTCAATATATGGTGTTGAATATGTCATATTGGATCACTCTAGAATAGTATACATAATATTTTCTAAATAGTGCGCTTCACCCGAGTAAGGCGAACGCTTTTTTGCGCCTTGCGCCTCAGGCGATAGAAGTACTCTAGCGCCTTAAGTGCGCCTCGCGAATTTGACTACCTTGCTCCTTACCATCTAGGGTAATACCATGGTTATGCTATGCGAAGGGTTGACACGTCGAGTGACAACTCTATTGTAGTGCTATTCATATTTTGATTCATGTAATGTGATGTGACTGAGTGATATTGTTGACCGTCACTGGCGTCACGCGCCTACCACCATACCGTCCTCTTTTATCCTGACTTGGGATAGCGAGACACGATTCCAAAAATGATCTCATGACGGAGTTTTTGTTTGGAAAGAGTAAATAATAGAAAATATAGATCACTTTCCAAAATTGTCTCTCAAGTGAGGTCAATCGTGCCAATTCATTTTAAAAAACTAAGTGAAGAAAGGTCATCATTTTTCATTTTCATTTACCCGAGTGCCGCAAAGGCTCCCACCTACGGTGGGGTAAGGGGGGATCAGAAGTATGCAGTCTTACCCCTGTATTAAAACAAAGAGAGACTGTTTCCGGATGACCCATAGTGATAAGAAAGATGAATCATGAAAATAAAAAATCTAGTTTTTTCCAAAATAAGGAATCTTTTTTGGGGCAAAGGAAAAATGATAATAGGGCATATGAAGGGGCATAGGGAGAATGAGAGTTTGAAACTTTCAGTGGCAGTTGCCTCATTTGAGCTAATCTAATATATTGAAATGATATGTTGCTAATTGAAACCTTTTCTGTTTAAACATTTGGACAATTTAATAGATTAAAAAACTTGACGTGTAATAGATTATAAATAATGTTTTCCTCAATATGATATCAGTGGTTCTTCTACTGCTTTATTGACTAAAACACCCGGGAGTAATAACAATGCTCTTGCAGATCGCCAATCTTGTTGGTTTTGTGATAGGACCATCAGGGATCAACTGGTTATCAGCTGTCTTCTTAACAAAAAAAGGTTGTTAATCTCTATGACTTGTCTAGCCTTTTAAATTCACATTATGTTTTCATAGGTTATGAAGTTTTATATCCTGCAGGGCTGCCAGTTTTATGTGCCATGCTTGTGACATTTTATATTGGGACTAAGGTTAGTAGTGTAGAAATCTTAATATCTTTATTAATTATCTTTAACAGTTCTCCTGCTTTACAGTTATGATTAATCTCCTTACAGCTCATGTTACATATATCTGACTCCAAGAAAAGGAAACTTCAAAAGTAGATTATGCAAATATTTGTGCTGAAGTACACTCTAATTGCATATTTCCGGAGGCATGTATAGTGCTTTTGTATCATTGACCACGCAGGTGTGATATTTACTCCCCTTAATGTGCAGACTGAAATATTCTATCCATTGGTAATAAATTAAATTCACCAACCTTCCGGTCTTCATTTGCTCTTTTCGAATTCTTGCTTCGTTTAAAAAAACATAGTGAGACATTCATGTCAAGTGTCCATTATTAAATTCCTTAAATATAAATGAAGCATCCTTAACTACTGCTTCTAATGTTCAGATTCTGTGTCTCTTGTATTAAGAGTTAAGACTATCATCACTTCTACGTTTTTAACCTTTATTGATGGTTTGTATTATTTGTTTCGTTTTTCTTTTAGTTGTATCCAAAACAAAACAAAACAAAACAAAAATGACATTGCTCCAGGATTGGACCACGTTTATTGGGAGGGATTAAATCAGAATTTCATTAGTGTCGTTGATAGGGTGTGAAATTTGCACATGATACAAATACTCCCCTTTTGATAAGTTTTTCCTTTAAAAATACTCAATTAGCTTACTTTTTCTACTTTTTATCTTCTCTTTCATATTTTCTCATTATTTATCCTACTTTTTCTACACTATACATAACTCCTACGATTTCCTCCTTGTATAATCTGTCAAAGCCTAACTTAACAATCTTTGAAATACGTAGGGTGTATTTCATTAAGAGTGTGGTTGATCATTAAGAACGTTTTCACTTAGACTTGTTTCTGTATTTGATCAGACCAAACTAGACTTAAATAAATCAAATTTATACAATAATAAAGTACACACATATCAAACGTTTATCGGACTAGATTGAAATAGATTAGATCGAATTGGACTACACTTAAACTGATTAGGTAGACCAGAAAATTACTCAAGTAGAAACATCCTACCATAACACACCCTAGGAATGGATCCGATCTGGCAGTTCGGCCTGGCCCGTAACCGAAACCGGTTGTGTTTGGGTTTAGACCAGGTCCGTTTTTTCTGGTTTCGGGCCTAGGACCAACCCTGTCAGGTCATGATGGGTACCTGGTCCCAATTTACAGATTTTCAGACCGGATTGGGTGGTCCTGGTTTCGGTCCTGAACAATGGGATACACACGAGTTCACAGAGCACAATTGAGCAACGGTGGACCGAGAAATTTTTGTTACTAGAGTTGAGTGTGAACAGTTGGCTGGCTGATATATATGAAATGCAGACATAGGGTTCCTTGCTTTGTTAGACACATTTTTTGTGCTGGAATTTTAAGTTGTCAGCGTGCCAAAAGCACACATGCTTTTTTTAAAAAGTATGGAAACAAGAGGTTCACCGTGAGCCAGTGTGTGACACGTATCACTCGGGCGATTGTAAGACAAAGACACTAGGAACCAATTCGTATAACAGTGAAATGCCTTGGCTATTTCCAGAAGTTGCTGGTTTCAGAACATCTGCATAGTCCTTCCTCTCTTTGTTATTTCCTTTGTGTGAAACTCTATGGGACCTCCTTTCCTCTCCAGTAAATTATTGCTTAGGTGTACCTTCAAGACCCATCAATCTGGCAACACACCTGGTTCCTTTCTTTTTGGTTTAACTTGACATTATGACATATCATCTACTTTGCAATTAAATTATGGGAAAAGGGGCAAATAAGCCCACGTACTAACCAAAAAAGGTCAAATAGGCCCTTATATAGGAGGCTTTGTCAGGCCGTCGCCATTTGGGGCAGTTCCCGGTGGAATTTTTTGATGAATTTTTTTGAGCATCTTATTCATTAAATCGAGTTTACGCATACCAAATTTCAGCTAACAAATCAATCGGAAAGGCATTCAAATGAATTCTTGAAGATAACTGCGCTTTTAATTGCGCAGTTATCTTCAAGAATTCATTTGAATGCCCTCCCGATTGAAATAAACTAGACTTAATGAATAAGATGCTCAAAAAATTTAATCAAAAAACTCCACCGGGAACCGCCCCAAATGGCGACGGCCGGACAGAGCCTTCTATATAAGGGCTTATTTGACTTTTTTTGGTTAGTACGTGGGCTTATTTGCCCCTTTTCTCTTAGATTAATGAGTAGCTAACTGTAACTCTTTTAAAGGCACTCTTCCCCAACTCAATCATGAACTGCATGTTCCATGAGATTAAAAATAAGAAACTATAACTAAATATCACAGATCTTTGTTTTCATGGGCTAAATTAGCTTTGAGTCGGTTAATTTGGAGACAATATCTACCTTAGCAATTGAATCACAAAATCCAGAATTGTGTACAAATTCAAGCACAAGAAGATGAACATAACTTCATATTGCTTTAATAAAATGCACAAAAATTGCAAAGTTAATTACACCAAAACTGCATATGTTCAAATTTATCAAAGAAATGATGCAGTGGAACAAGCTTTTTTTGCACCATAATTCACCCTAAAGTGTACACATATGCTCGTCAGAAATGCTCTAATTATCTCATGATTTCAGTTGAAACAAAATGTGTAATCTACACAGAATAATGCAAGTATACAAGAATTTGTTCACAGACTGGTGGGAAGAGGATTTAATAACATATACAAAGAAAAGGAAAATAGATTATCAGTTGCTGATCATAAATCATTTAAAAAATCTGCAATTACAAGAGCACCTAATCTTCGATTCTCCTCTAGAAGATACGCCTAGGAGAAATTTTTCTCAAAAAAGACTGATGCAATCTGACTTGGATGGAGAGCCATCCCCATTCGCGATAGGGAACAAGACAACAAGCGAGTACCTTGGTTTGCTTCTCCACAAAGTACATAAGTTTAAGGATAATTGCACCTTGTAGGTCGGTTGCTACATAAGGAGTAAGGACTCTCCGACTCAAATATTCATCTTTCCCCTGGTTGAAAAAATCTCGTGCACGACACGCGTCCATCGTGCGCACATCCATGTGAACTTGTCTGAGAGCAGCGTGGGTGTGTGCACACCTTTCGTCCAACCTTTACGTTGTAGATTGTATTGCATGGTGTGCGCACCTCTTCGATGGCGTTTTTCTTTGTTTTCTGCTCTTTGAGTCTGCATCTAATCTCGTGCTCGATTTTTGAACTCTGTATTCAATTTCATCCTCTTCGTATGCTCAAAGTCATCTTTGCTTCTCAATTTTCCTCGCAAGTGTCCCTAAATCTCAAATTGAACTCTGCAACGCGGTGTGAGGCTCAATTTCGAGATTTCAATTCTAAAAATATCAAATGCAAACCAAAACTCAGTACACCAATCCCAACATGCATGAAATGCGTGTTAAAATTCGGAATTATCACACCCTCCCTAGCTTCTTACCCGCACTCACTCTTTGTATCTGCCTATCTGGGAAGATTTTACCCTACCTAACTCGAATACTCGATCACATACACATCATCAAATGATATCTTTGAGTCTTCTTCTTTCACAAGAATGCTCTCACTTTTGTCTCTCAAGGAGACTCTCACTCAATCGCTCAAGAGCTCTCCTCAAAGTTCTCATAAAAATAGGAAACTTCTCTATATTAATCTCATCAAAGCTTCTCTACTTTTTTTTTTGTACACCACTACACATCTAGATTCTTCCAAAAAGTCTTCACAAGCTTTTCTAATCTTCTTGAAGGATGTAGAGAACTTCACAATTATTCAAAATGTTCTAAAGGCTTTCACACACTATCACACGATTTTAGTGAGTTCCAAACTTCTCGAGAAAACTCCACATTATTATTATTCTAAAACATTCAATACTTCTCTACACATATAGAGAATCTTAGACATCTTTGTAAATTATAAAATTCTCATGAATTTTTCCACCAAGGAGGGAATCCAACACAGTCTCGAGAATGTTTTGATCTTTTCGTTGCAAGAAATGTGACAACATATTCATCAAATTCAATACTTTCTTGCTCAATGTAACCACGAAAAGCCAATTCGTGTGTCATCAAAGGTCTAAGACAATGCACATTTGCATTCAAATGAGTGTGGTATGCTGCGGTCAATACTTGTATTCCCAGAGACACGTACGTTTTCTGAAAGACTTTACCTTTTATTTTAATACTTAATCTAAAATTAATCTTAATTGGTATTGATTTTTGAAAAGAAGGGAGGCATTAAATATATGTTTAATTATCAAAATAGGACTAAAAGTCACTCACTTTGCACAAATAGGACCAAAAATAAACTATGTTTCCATAGGAACAATTATGGGTGTCTTGGACAAATATACCTTTATAGCTATTGGAATGTTTTAATTCATAATAAAATAATAAAAATAATAAAAATTCGTAAACAAACACCAAAAAATAATAAAAATATTTTAAATAATAATAAATTAAAAAATAAATTGGAAACATTTTTTAAAAAAATGCAAAAATAAAAAATAAAAAATCGCCGCCGCCCCTGCCGCCCCAGCACCACCACCTCCAGTCATCTAGGGAAAAAATGCCAAATTCTTTATGAATGCCATATTTTTGGCATAAGTGAGTATGATTCAAGTTGGAAGAATGATTCAAGTTGGCATTCTCAAAGAGAAATATGCCATTTTTGGCATTTTTAGAGAAAAAAGGCAGTTTTTAGTAAATATGGCATTTTTTAATAGGCGGGGGTGGTGGTGCAGGGAGGTAGTACCACCACCTCCTGTCACCGAGGAAAAAATGCCAAAATATTACGAATGCCATATTTTTTGCGGAAGTCAAAAGGATTCAAGTTGACAGAATGAAAATGTTGGCATTCTCATAGAGTAATATGCCATGTTTTTTTATTTAAAAAAATGGCATTTTTTACACCAATCGGAGGTGGTGGTGCAGGGAGGTAGTACAAGCGGTGGGAAAGGCATCCATATTTTTTTTAATTTTTTAATGGAGTTTTACTATTTTTATTAATTTTAAAAAAATTGAATTTTTTATTTTATATTTTTTTTTAAAATTTTTTATTATTTTTCTAAGAATTATTGAATTTTTTCGAATTTATTATAAATTAAACATTTAATTATGACTTTTGACTATGTTTACTCATATTTAAATGAGGGGTAAGAATAGAATGAAGAAATAGGTATGTTTCCAATAGGACCAATATGGTCCTATTTTGGAATAAAAAACATAGCAAATCCTATTTTGAGTTTTTGGCATAGTTTTAGTCCTATTTGAAGTAATTTCTACTTAAATATATTATAAGTAGTAGTGCTATTTTTTTTTTGCCCGAAGCAGGGGCGCTTGCCCCCTCATGCCCCCTCATGCCCCTTCCCAGTTTCCTCCACTGGTTAGGGGAGTCTGAGGTAAACATGATTGAAATCGCCTCCATGGAATTTCGAACTTGAGACCTCCCAAAGAGTGAGTCGGTGACCACTTGAGTTGGACCGCTTCCTCGATGACGTCAATGTTAAGATTCCCTAAATAGTAATACAACAAAAGAAAATTTTAATTTGAACTAATAAGTGTTCAACTTATTATGAAGTTTGCACCATTTGGTTCACTAGAAGTTTGCAAATATTTGTCATATGAATTAATATACATCATCCTTTGATTGACTTATCTAATATTTCATCAATATAAGTATAACAGCGGTGAATATATATACTAATCTCTCAATGAAGTATTAATTATATAACTGCTATATAAAATTATAACTCCTTTGAAATTATGAATTACAAAACTAATGATGACAATATATATTGTTGAAATTTATTGTGTTAAAAATTACTTACAAAAATATACGAAGAATAATGTAGAGTGGTTGTTCGGTATAAGTTAGAAGGGTGAATAGAAAAATTATACAATTCAAATAATTTGATTTAGTAATTTTATCAACAACGACTTGAAGCTTGAACGATGAAATCTAAAAACTTATAAACACCAATCATGGTTATGACATTTAGGAAGGGCAAAAATGTTGGTATAGCACTAAAGCAAATTGCACTTGTACAATTTGTTTTAATGAGTGTACCATTTATCATTAACCCAATGACTTCTTCTCTACCTCCGTTAAGTTCCAACAGCATTTTCCAACGTTTTGTGTGCCCTTCAAATTATAACTATGCTATTCATTTGATTGCTTTAGTTTCCATTCAATGTTTTTTTATTTAATTTTGCATTCTAAACTTTTTCCTTGTACAAGATAAATTCAATCTTGTATAAATTTTTATCTTTTCTCTTTAGAATGCAGCAATCTAACACAATGACACCCGATAAAATTTCCGTGCGGTTTGCAAATTACCCCTTAATTATTAACCTGTTGTGGCCACAAAGATTTGGATGCATATCTTCATTGTAAGAGTTGTTCTTTTCATATTATTCTTATTGCTTATTGCTTACAATTATTTCAATTCATTTGGATATAATAGAAAATTGAGTTAGATGAAATCATATCATATCAGAAAAGTACCTCTCACATCAGAAAGATTCGGATCATATAGATCGGAAAGGAACATACCAGATTAGAAAGTTTCAGACATGATTTATTATTATTATTATTATTATTATTATTATTATTATTATTATTATTATTATTATTATTATTATTATTATTATTATTATTATTATTATTATTATTATTATTATTATTATTATTATTATTATTATTATTATTATTATTATTATTATTGTTATTGTTATTGTTATTGTTATTGTTATTGTTATTGTTATTGTTATTGTTATTGTTATTGTTATTGTTATTGTTATTGTTATTGTTATTGTTATTGTTATTGTTATTGTTATTGTTATTGTTATTGTTATTGTTATTGTTATTGTTATTGTTATTGTTATTGTTATTGTTATTGTTATTGTTATTGTTATTGTTATTGTTATTGTTATTGTTATTGTTATTGTTATTGTTATTGTTATTGTTATTGTTATTGTTATTGTTATTGTTATTGTTATTGTTATTGTTATTGTTATTGTTATTGTTATTGTTATTGTTATTGTTATTGTTATTGTTATTGTTATTGTTATTGTTATTGTTATTGTTATTGTTATTGTTATTGTTATTGTTATTGTTATTGTTATTGTTATTGTTATTGTTATTGTTATTGTTATTGTTATTGTTATTGTTATTGTTATTGTTATTGTTATTGTTATTGTTATTGTTATTGTTATTGTTATTGTTATTGTTATTGTTATTGTTATTGTTATTGTTATTGTTATTGTTATTGTTATTGTTATTGTTATTGTTATTGTTATTGTTATTGTTATTGTTATTGTTATTGTTATTGTTATTGTTATTGTTATTGTTATTGTTATTGTTATTGTTATTGTTATTGTTATTGTTATTGTTATTGTTATTGTTATTGTTATTGTTATTGTTATTGTTATTGTTATTGTTATTGTTATTGTTATTGTTATTGTTATTGTTATTGTTATTGTTATTGTTATTGTTATTGTTATTGTTATTGTTATTGTTATTGTTATTGTTATTGTTATTGTTATTGTTATTGTTATTGTTATTGTTATTGTTATTGTTATTGTTACTGTTACTGCTACTGCTACTGCTACTGCTACTGCTACTGCTACTGCTACTGCTACTGCTACTGCTACTGCTACTGCTACTGCTACTGCTACTGCTACTGCTACTGCTACTGCTACTGCTACTGCTACTGCTACTGCTACTGCTACTGCTACTGCTACTGCTACTGCTACTGCTACTGCTACTGCTACTGCTACTGCTACTGCTACTGCTACTGCTACTGCTACTGCTACTGCTACTGCTACTGCTACTGCTACTGCTACTGCTACTGCTACTGCTACTGCTACTGCTACTGCTACTGCTACTGCTACTGCTACTGCTACTGCTACTGCTACTGCTACTGCTACTGCTACTGCTACTGCTACTGCTACTGCTACTGCTACTGCTACTGCTACTGCTACTGCTACTGCTACTGTTATTATTATTATTATTATTATTAGAAAAAGAAGAAGATTCTTATTTTTTTATTGAGGAGAAGATTATTATTAAGAGCCTCTTTAGTGATCTCGTTTTTTGGTTTATCAGTCTCATATGAAACAACTTTTTCGTCCAACACGTAACTTATTATTTCACTCGTTGAATTGTATAATACTGAAAATAAGTAAGGTTGAAGTTATTTGTCTGATTGAATTGGTTTAAGTTATGAATAAAAGCTCTGAAAATTTTAAGAATGTAAAACTTTATAAATATCTAAGTGTTTTTGGAATAATTTGTATATTCTACTTCTTTTAAAAAGTTTTTAAATATTATCTTTATACTTTTTACGGATTCATTTTTCTGATTTTTTATTTACAACTTCTAAAATTATTTATCTTTTTATTTTTACGATTATTTATATTATTATTATGAGTACTATTTTTCAAATTTATATGAATTTTTATAAGACTTATTAATTTTCCTAATTTATTGTTTCAAAGATAGCCTGCTATAACAGATCAAAATGGCAGTGATTGTCTTTTCAAAATAACCGTACTCGTATGATACTTTTTTTTTAGTATAAAGGCTCAGGTGATGGATTTGAAATATTAAAAGAGTCTATTTGACCCCCCCCCCCCCCCAAAGAAAAAAAAACGGGCAAAAAATATTGGCCTAATATTTTAGGCTTTTTTAATTGCAGCGATACTCATGAGTGATATTTTAACTTTCCACTCTATTTTCAAAATCACTACTCTTTAATATATATACTCCATAGTATGCACCCCAAGTGTGGATCGAATTGGCGTGCATACATTAATGATTTTGAAAATAGGGTGTAAAGTCAAATATCACCGTAAAAATGGTGTGACATTCTTAATCTCCCACTTTTTAAAGAGGAGTGAAGTGCGGATCATTGCACTTGCTGCTATACTAAAAACAATCGTTAATAGTGTAGCACATCTTCCCCTTATTTCATTTAGATCAGATAAAAAAATTGGATTAGATCATATCATATTAGAAAAATTCTTCTCACATCAGAAAAACTCGATCATATCAGATGAGAAAGATCCATACCGAATTAGAAAATTTCGGACATGATTTATTATTATTTTTATTATTAATATTAGAAGATTCTTATTTTTTTGTTAGTTAAGGAGAAGATTGTTATTAAGAGCCTCTTTGGTGATCGTGTTTTTCGGCTTATCAATCTTATGAAACAACTCTTTCACCAACACACACCTTATGATTTCATACGTTGAAATATTGAATTATATAATAATCAAAATAAGTAAGATTGGAGTCATTTTTGTTTGCGGAGACTATATAAGGTGCTAAAACAAGGTTAGGGCTTTAAGTTATAGGAAATAGTTTGGGCATTATCTCTATCGCGCAACGCGCGTTGAAAAAACTAGTATATTTATATAGGGTCTTAATGATGGAAAATTATCAATCTAAAATTCAAAATATCATGTGCATTATTGTTGAATTAACTATCAATCAGAAGGCCCTCAATGTTAAAAACTACTATAGGCCCTCAGTGTTGGAGTATTAATTAATCAAACACCTAAAATATCATAGTTTTTGACTTTATAATATTTGAAGTCTTAGAGGTCGTTTGGTAATACTGATTTTCGGCTTATCAGGCTTATCAACCAACTTTTTCACCAAACACGTAATTTTTATTTTTGCGCGCTGAATTGTGTAGTAAGCAGAAAAAGTAAGGTTGGAGTTACTTTTCTGGCTGTATTGGCTGAAGTTACTGTAGATGTTCATTTTAGCTATTTTATATATAATTTTTTCTTTATAATATTAATAAAATATATTTTAAAAATATTTTTTTCTTAAATCAGCAGAATCAGCCAATGCAGCCACTTCAACCAGAACTTCATAAATTTCAGCAGAATCAGCCAAAACAGCCGATTTTCGTGCTACCAAACAACAGATTGATAGTTCTTTATCATTCAAACCATATATCCACACATTTCACCTTTGAAAGATGAAATATATTTATATAGGGCCCTAATTAGGGCTGGGCACATTTCGGTTCGGTTTTATCGGTTTCGGTTCGGTTCGGAACGGGTTGAGAGAATTATTACCAAACAAAAAAACCATACTATTTTTCGGTTCGGTTTAGTTTAGTTTGGTTCGGTTTGGATTTGTTATTTTTTAATAAAATATGAAGGATTTTTTGAATTTCTTTAGCTCGGTTTTGTTCGATTTTTGTCGGTTTCGGTTCGGTTTAATACGGTTTGGAAGAAATACTACCAAACTCAAACCAAATTGCATACAGTCCGGTTTCGGTTTAGTTCAGTTTGGTAAGGTTCGGTTCAATTAAACCAAACCGTTATGCCTACCCCTAGCCCTGATGATTGAAAACTATCAATCTAAAATTCAAAATATCATGTGCATTATTATTGAATTAACAATCAACCAGGAACCTGAAAAATGAAATGTTGAAATGTGTTGGTATAAGCCCCCAATGTTAAAATACTATCAATTAATCAAACACCTAAAATATCATAGTTTTTGACTTTTTAAATTTCATTGCTAATTTGTTTATAATATATAAAGTCTTAGATTGATAGTTTTCTATCATATAAACCATATATCCACACGTTTCACCTTTCAAATCTCTTATGGATAATTAACTTATCGTTCAGATCATTTCAGATCATTGTTTAGTAAATTTAAAATTTTTAAAGAGAGAATTACCTAAATAGGACTAAAAGAATGTAGAATTGCAAAAATAGGACGTATTGTTTTAAATTTCTTAAATAGGACTAATTATTTGTATTAGGACAAAAATAGCCTTCTTAGTTCCTGCTGCAACGATTCGCTGGGTGCTATGAAGGTCGCTTGCGAGTTGCGATGCACGGATGAACGGCTCCCCAGGTAAGTTTCTTCTTCATCGATCTTGTAAGTTTCTTCTTCATCGATCTTTTTCTTCTACTCATCTCAAGCTCCCTTGTTTTCTTCTTCTACACGTCCTCTATTTTCTTCTTCTTTTGGATTTCCAAGTTTTTATAATCCTGAGTAATTTATTTTTAAAAGATTCATATTATTGTTTTAATCACTTCAATCTGAAAAATGACATAGTTGATCTTTATTTAACACTGATTTGTAATAATGTCACTTTCATGACATTACATTTGCTAAGGTGACAATTTCAAAGAAGAAAATGACATTTGCAGAGTAATAATGTCACTTTCATGACATTTTCAAAACAAAAGTGACATTTTCAGATTGTCATCCTAGTAAATAAACTGCCACAAACGTGACATTTTCCCCCAAATAACCAGTAATTTTGACATTCTCAGATTATAAAAGTGGCATTTTACTGAATATATAAAATTCAAATCCAAAAAGTCTAAATTAATAAATAAAATTCAAATCCAAAAAATTTAAAGAAGAGGAGAACAAAGGACCAAAAATTTGAAGAGGATTAGAAGAGGAAGAGGAAGAGCAGGGACGTAGCTAGGGGTGGGCCAGACCTGGCCCTGGCCCAGCCCAGATTTTAAAAATGTCTTTATTTTTAGTGCAAAAAATTTCG